GCACATTGCAGTGTATTCGATATGCCAAATATGGCACAAGTCTTAAAAAGTCGGCTGGAGATGTTTAAAATAATTTTTTTTTTGTCATGCTTCCAAATGTTAGACATTTGACATTATAGGACATCAGACGACATCAAATGACATCAGATTGATGTCGGCAATGTTTATCTTCCTCATATAAGGGAAAATTCCTTACAATGCATTTTCGGCGGAAAAAAGTCCCACCGCCGCCAAATGTGCCAAATATGGCACATCACAATGCATTCTTGTGTCATATATGGCACACGAGTAGCGAAGCTAAATTCGCTATTTTGACGCATTTGTAGCGAAGCTAAGCCAACCAAATGCCTACCACGTGAAAGTTTAGCGAAAAATAAGGGTATAAAGGGGGGTCGGCGAAATTCTTACTCCAAGTAAAAAATAAATTACAGGCGGTTTAAAGTCTTGGTGCCATATATGGCACACTTGGCGGCGTAAGGTTAATTTCACCCCCTAAATCTCATTTTTATCCAATAATTTTAGACTCGACAGATTCGGGATGATCTGAGGATTCAGTAAATATATGATTCATGAGCAGACTATGAGTATAAGAGAAATTACGATCACCCCTGAGAAAATTCTCGTCGACCCCCCCCCCCTTAAAAAAATTTTTCAATAATTTCTAGTCTGGAAACTTATCAACGCACGAAAAATTGGGAGAATTCCCTTTTTCGTTTTTTTTCAAAAAAGAGACGTTTTTTGGGCTTGTAAAAAGAATGCTTCTCCTTTGTTCTAATTATCAATAAAAAGATTAACTTGATTCCAGTTCTTGGTTCAATCATTCATCGACGATCTCATTTACAAAATCTTATCAATAACAATACAAATGGGTTCTGTTATAACCAAGTATTTTCAATAGTTAGTTGGATTATATCATTTCAAATTGAACCGAAAATTTTAAAAATCCATCCTAATTTTCGGCATTTATGGCCCTCAAAAAAGAGAGTAAACTTTCTGTAGTCTTGCTTCTAGAATTTCGACTGAATTTATCTGAAATTAAATAATTGTAGGCTGTCAACTTTCAAATCACTGGTGAGACTCAGTTTTTTTATTTGTTGCCTTACCAAGCCCGTCAAACAGGGCAGGCATATAAATTTCGTTTAAAAACTCAGAGCGAACGCGAAGCGAAAGCGAAAATTTTTTCCAGCCAAAAAGCGAAGCGAAAGCGAAGCGAACGCCTGTCTTGTACAGCGAAGCGAAAGCGAATTCGCCCAACGAAAAATTCACCAAAAGCTTAAATTCGCCAAAAACAAAGAATCGCCGAAAGCGAAAATTCGCCAAAAGCGAAAATTCACCGAAAGTGGATCATAGTCCCCTCATCATAGTCTATGGTTCATAGAGGCTCTATCATAGAGCTACACTTCAGTGTTTTCTTTTTTTGAGAATCTTCAAGTGAAAATCCAGAAATACATTCTTTCGAAATTATAAGAAATAATCTCGATGAATTTCAATTTTTTATTTGAACTAAGGCGGACTGCGCCGGAATTTATCCAATAATGAGTAAAAATATTGATTTTCACCAAAATCGCATATTTTTTAATCAGCGAAATTCGGGTACAAGCGCCTTACGCACCAAAGGTACTCTTTTCTAGAATTTGTTGTGATTTTTCATTTCTCTTAAGAAAGTTGTCAGTTTTATTTTTTAATTTATGGTCAACCTTCGGTCATCAAAATATGGAGAATAATCAGTGGTCTCCAGGCAGAGTTGAATTTATTATATTGTCTTGAAAACTTACAGTGCAGGGGTGGATATTTTGATTTCAAACTTCATTTCAAACCCCGAAATTCCCGCTCTCGACCAATCAGGATGGTCAAATTGGGGTTGAAATGAGGAGTTGAAATCAAAATATCCACCCCTGATACAGTGACACATCCTTAACTTGTCACTTTATCCAGGCGCGGCCGTCTTTTGAAAATGGTTAAGAGATCGAAATTTGCTGGCAGTACTGCAAGGACTGAACCCTATTTTCAAGCAACATAGACAAAATTGGTCGCTATTAATTGCTGACCAAAAGAAAGCAAAGAAGAGTCAAACAGATGCGAACTTTCAAGAGATTTTCAAAGAACGAATTAGATTTCTGCTTTCGGCCCAGAGTTCGAAATTTCAAGTTTTTTGGGGAGTTTCCGATCCCCTCCCGCGTCTTCAAAGTCAGCAGACTTCTGTATTCTTGGGGAATTTTGAGATCGCTTTCTCAAAATCTACTCGGTCAAATTTCAAATTTCGAAACAAATTTTGAGCTTAACTTAAGGACTGTTCCCCTTTAAATTTTTCTCCGAATTTTAATGTTTCAACATTTTAGGTCTCCAAAATTGATCTTTTTTGAAGTAACAGCAAATTAACTCGAATTTCGGACCCGCACAATTCGGCCCTTTTTCGAGAAATATGCCAAACAAAAAAGGTCTAAATTTTGCGAGTAAACTGTAAAAAAAAAATTTGGGTCACCGAATAAATCATTCTCGGCCTCGATCATTGGGGAGACGCTTAATAGTGACTTTCTTGGCACTTGATTCTCTTGGCATTCATATCAACGTTGTCTTACTGAGAATTTTTTAGTAAGCATTTTTAATTTCTCAAGTATTTTGTAAAAGATAAATGATAATTCAACTCAGTCACCAGGTTTTCAATCTGCTTATAATGCAGATGGTCAATCATCATGCACAAACCAGCAATGGGGGTTTCCTTCTGGTAATGCGTATCCTGATTCCAACATTCCATACCCAGGGCAACCTATTCTGCCAGTTTATCAAACTGAAGGTTCTGCCGGTCCGTTCCCGTATCAAGACAATAATCAATGGAGCTCAAGTGGTAATGCTTACGAAGCTATTCAAGTTCCTCCTGAAGAACATGTTTTACAAAATCTTCAAGAGTTGTTCAGGCCAATTGGTTTAATTTATAAATAATTAAACATTGTGCACGGGAATGTTTTTGACAATGAAATCTTAACGAGCGTCGAAACATTTTCAATAAATAAAGAAATTATTGATAAATGATCAATTTGAAATTAATTTAAAAATGCATATTTACAGTGATAACCCATTTAAAGGCCCACCATTTTAAGGCCACTTTTTTGAAAAATTCCCAAAATTTGTCATCCTCAAAATATCCATTATAAGGCCACTTTTGATCATCTTAAATTACAGTTAAGCGACCCTACCCTAACGGTTAGGGCCTAACCCTGAACTTACGCCGCTGAAATTTAGCGAAAAGAAGGGGTTTTTATCCGCCATCTGGAGTTAATTTAGTCCGGAATGATCTGAGCGATATATCCTCGATTGATTCGAGAATCTAGCGTGACGCTTTAAGTTCTTGTAATATCTTTAAAGTGAAGCCGATCTAAACAGAATCTAAAATTGAAATTTTCGTTCTTCTGTGGAGAGGCAGTTGGAACTTCCTTAACTTGAGAGAGCAAAATTCAGTCAAGGATTCGTCTTTGACCGAAGAGATTCTCACTTATCAAAGTTTAATTTGTACCCTTTCCAGAACACCAAAAATCAATGTTTCAAATTAAATTGAATTTTTTGATTAAGTGATCAAAGCTGATCTTCGGATGAAAAATCTTTATATGTTTTTCTTAGTTCCTTATTCCTGTTTTTTCACGAAAAAGGCAGGCAAGAGACGACAATTTTCGGCAAATGCCTGTTGTATGCACAAAAAAAAGGAAAAAAATCATTGTCATCCGGCTCAACATGAAAAATGTGCATTTTAAGGGACCCCCGATTTCTCAAGTCTTAATGACGGGTGTCTATGCGGCATTTTTAGAATCCTCGTGTTCTGAGGATCATTTTGATATATTATATGTTCCCCTTACGAGCATTTTTACCCAAAATTTTGAGCCTCGAAAATCGTAAAAATGCATGTAATTTGTACTCAGCGTGGAAATCACATTTTTTTCGACTTTTCGATGTCATCGAAAATAGACGTGTAAGGAGTCTTTCGAACGTTTACAGTGCACTGAGTAAGAATATGATAACCGCATTCGGATTTTCGGCCATATATCGGCGCTAGAGAGCAATTTAGAGCCAGAAAAGGGCCAAAATGGCATCAAAAAGTTTTTGTTAAGAAAAAATTTCTCTTACTTGACCAAACGATGTCTCTGTACTAGAGATTGTTGATAAGGGATCAAGAAAGAAAATAAAAATTGATTTAAGTCTCTATATAAGAGCAAAAAAAAACTAGTTCGACTTTGAAAAAGGCCCAAAACGGGGGTTTTCGCGAGTATCTATGTATTCAGCCCGCTTTTTCGAGGTGTTTGCCCTTATGAAAATTTTTTTCTGTACTAGAGTTTGTTCACTGAGAAACGGGCTTCAAAATGAGCCATTAACCATTTAAAAAGCTTAGCCCAGAAAAAAGTAGTTCGACGTCAAAGTTGGCGAAATCGGGGGATCCCTAAAGGCCACTTTTGAAATTTGCTGTCATCCAAAAATCGGCCTTAAAATGGGTTTTCACTGTAAGTCAAAAATTTATACTTTTTATAAAGAACTACTGTCGTGGATTTTTATCCGACGCCAATGACTCATTAAAAAAGAGGAAAGTCAAGGCCACGTTGCAGGCATTATGAGTCATATGCGCCGAAAAAGATCAAAGAATGTAGTCGCAACAAGAATCTGACTCTTTCGACAATTTATAGCGGCAATAATTATCGGTCATATTATAATTTTCGATCGAGCAGAAAAAGATTATTCTCGATTTTTTGAGGAAAATTGTTGACGGGAGGGGGGTGGTCCTTAAACAAATTAATTTCCTACGTCGATTTAAACTATCGGGGTTATTTTCAGTGTGGTTTCTTAATTGAACCAAAATCAGTTCGCCAGAAGGAGCCGATATAAATCTTCGAAAAGCAATGTTTCACCAATACATAAAAATATTAAAAAGCCGTCCAATACTCGTAAGACATGAACATGAAAGTGGATCTGGCGAGTCAAGACGTACTTACACAACATATGAGCCTCCGAAATTTGCTATGGTCGAATCAAATTTTTCTGAACCTTCGCCGGATTTTGTTTGCTTTTTCATTACCGAAATTCTTCCCGGTAACATGCGTTTTATGCGGGCAAAATTTATTAAATTATTAAGGAAAACCGAGGAATACTGAAGCTTGTTGCTGTTGCTCAAATCCGTTTGACGACCGATTGTATCAATTTCCAGTGAAAACAGATATTTGCGGCTATAAATCTGGCTGGAATGAGCTGATGCCTATTTCAGAAGAAGACATGATGATAATGGAATGCGTGAGTGTTTGCTACTCAAAAATATTTTTAATAATTTTCAGACTGGCTGGAATCAACAACAACTTTGGGCCGGAATGAAGGAAGTTCAACGCGCTTGTAAGTAGGATAATAAAATCAAAAAAACCAAAAGTGGATATAAAACAATTGTCCGCACCAGGGTCGGTTAATACGTGCTTAAATAAAGGCTGCTAAATGGCGCCGACAACACTTATGGTGCTTTTGGCGGGTAGGCAGTATTTTTCCGCAAAATTCGCCGAATCGTCTCTATCTTCGAATTGGAGGACTTTATTTGATGCTGAAACTCAAACCTTAATCCGCACCCAAACCAAAACTAAGGCCGATTTTCGGATGACAGCGAATTCCAAAAATGGCCTTAAAATGGATATTTTTTGTCTCGAGTCGGATGACAACAAATGAAACTCTTGGAAACACGAGATATAACGCAGTCGAATAATTTAAGTTTTTTCAAGTGACACTGTTTTTTTCAGATATTGAATAGAAATTGAAAGAAAGTGGCCTAAAAATGGATTTTTTGAGAATGACGGATTTTTGGGATTTTCCGAAAAAGTGGCCTTAAAAAGGCCGGCCTTAAAATAGGTTATCACTGTAATATCATACTAAAAATGACCAAAAGCGCTGATTTTTCGTAAAGCTTTGTAAAAATTGCTTTTTGACTATGGTGCGGACAATTTACGTTCCGAGATAAAGCCTGCATTCAAAAATATGAATATTTAAGTGGACAAGACTTATTGGACTTCAATCTTCTGTCGATCCCTATGGCTTGTCCTGTTTGTTGTTGGATGGTATTTCGCGATTAAAGACATGACTTCAAACTGATCTTTCTGAATTCCCATAAATTAATGAAAATTGTATAAGCTTACCAGTGACGTCCTGTTAAATTTATTCTTTCAAGTTTTACATTTTCTAACAACAAAAATATATCTCTTTTTGTCATGTTTATAGTATATTTTATAAGTTTACTGACACAATCCGGAGTATTTTGTGATTCCGGGAGGTTATTCTATTTTTTGGCCGGAAAATACTAAGCCCCGGCCGGAAACACCTCCTGAGATGCGGTCGAAAGCCAACATGAAGAAAGCTTATCGATAGATAGCTCTTTGCCAATCTTCAAGTAAACATCCATGAATACATACTTTAAGAATTATAAGAAACAATCAACATGTATTTTTTGCTTTTAATAAATACTTAATTTCAACAGAGACAGGTACAAATACATGGAGTCAAAAAAACGTCTCTTAAGGGGGAGTATAACGCTTTTTTGAAAGTCGGTATTTTAATCATCTCTCTCAAGATTCTTGTAGCTTAGGCCTGGACTACTAAAAAAGATAATAATTTTTTTTCTTATTTTTCAGAAAAAGTACCTTAGAATGACATTTAAAGTTGTTTAACCGCGCCTAGTGAAATTTTCCCGCGACATTCTGTATTAATTTTCTTTATCCAGAGTCGTATATTTTTTTCATTTTTATGAATTTTTTCAATCAGAGATGAATGTTCTCACAAGAAAAAAGCAAAAATATCCTACTCGTCATTTTTAACTACCGATTGACCTCATGAAAATCTTCATTTTTGGAACCACTTCTGCAAAAAAAAAATTTTGTTGAGAATTTTTAGAGTTTACAAAATTTCCTTTAAAACAGCCCTAGATAAGGGAATGAAGTTTCTAAAACCATTAGCGTTTTCATGATTGAAAATTAATTTCTTAGAAAAATTTCAATTCTCCGAGAGGCCAAAATCGCAATTTTTTGAAAACGGGATTCAGTTTCAGCTTTCTACTGCCAAAACCGCTTGAATTAATGAGAATCCGAGAAAAACAGCCCTAGATATTGGTCATATCTAACTACTCGAGGAAGAATTTTTGGGATAGCTAAGGTGCTCTGGAAATAAGAGCAAATCTCCGATCCCCCTTTAGCCGAAAATGCGTGATACTCCCCCTTAAGGGGGGGGGGTCGACGAGAATCGGGATTTTTAGAAACAAAATTCCGAGAAAACCTGATTGGCTGGAAAAATTTGGACTTTTTAGTTGAAAAGAAAAGGGTTGAAAAAATCTATCGGCGAAAAGAAGAAAAAATTTTGACCAGAAAAAATGGCCGAAAACTTGTCTCAAAGTGGACCCCAAATTGCCATTTTGGCAATTTTCTGATTTTTTCGTCATTTTTTTTCGGACACTTTTGGTAAAGAAGTGCACAAAATTTCTGCGAAGACTCGCGAAACTCTTTGCCGATAGATTCTTAATACCCTTTTTTTCCCAACCGAGAAGTCAAAATAAACTTACGCAATCGGGTTTTTCGGGAAATTTGTTTTTAAGATTCTTATTCTCGTTGACCTCCCCCTTAAACTCATAATAACAATATAAATACATTTTTCGTAAATAAATAAAATAAACCTAAATGTGATTCTTGACATTTATGCATAAAGAATATTAAAAGAGACGTTTTCAAAACGAAGAGGGGGTTATAATTCGGGCCTATGATTCGAGCCATCCAATATCTCTAGAATCTGAGCTAATGGTTAGGGTTAGGGACTGGGAACTCTTCAGGGGGGTCCGGGGGGCGAAGCCCTCTAGTTTAGGCCTTAGATTGGGGTCCCGGGGGGCGTAGCCCCCTTGGTTAGGTTTAGGCTTAGGGGCAGCCCGAATGATAACCCCCTACTACCTTTCAAAAAAATATCGAGTCAAAAAAACGTCTCTTCTAAAAGAAATTCAATTAAGTAAGTATTTTAAATTTTTTGTTCACACATCTGTTTCTAGACTAATAATTGTTGATTTTTAAAAGTTATTTAAAATTGTTATACTCTTATTTTAAAAAATCTTTCTCAAACTAACAATCGTTAGTCTAGATACTTATCTGCGCAGGAAATATCGGAAACACTCATATAAATATATTTATCTCATAGAAGACGCTTTTCATCTTCACAAATATATAATCGTATCTATATCAAATAGCAAACTATATCAAACAGTATGATTTATTTTGAATTCAGGTATCGCATGCGAGCGATACATGTGAGCAGAGTTCGAAATCTGAAAAGAAATAGCGACTGCCACTGCCAAGCGACTGCAAGCCTTTTTTGCCAAGTGACTGCCGAAATCGGCAGCTGCCACTTGCAGCTGCCAGTTGACTGCCAAAAACTGCCGATTTCGATACTTTTTGTAAAAATTTTTACAGTCAAACTAAATTCAAAACAGTCGTTTTGACAAGTTGGCAATATAAAAGAAATATTATCATAAATATAAATGTCTCTTCTGATAGGAAAAATGGAATAAAATAGGTCACGGGAGCAAAATTTGGTCATTTACGTTATTTTTCTTTGTCATTCTAGAAAGAAAAACTAATATCTTTTGAAGTGGCAGTCGGTTGGCAGCATTGATCCAAATGCATTGATCCAAATGCCGACTTTATCTATTTGGATAAACTATATGGATAAACTCGGCATTTGGATAAAGTCCACCCCAATCGTTGGCAGCTGTCAGTTACTGCCAGTCCTTGAAAAGTGTAACTGCCACTGCCAAGTGACTGCCAAAATTGGCAGCTGCCAGTTGCAGTCGTGGCAGAACTGCCAGCAAATTTCGATTTCTGCATATAAGAAGACTCGATTTATTCTTGAATGTCTCTTTTGAAATTTAGTTTCGATAATTTGCCAACAACAATTTGATAACGGTTTTTTTTCTTCTTTTGTAAACCCCAGTTTTCTAAACATTTTCTTTATTTAAATTGACCAAAAATTTTAATTGACCAAAAATGGTAAACTAGGCAAAATAGGCGATACGATGATAAAATTTGCAATTAGTCGAAGAAAAATATATCGAAGAAAAAATTTTAAGGCCCTACGTCGGGAAATTTTTCTGAAGACTTATGCACCCCCGTCAGCTTTTTCGAAAAATTGATTTTCGGAATTTCACTATTTTGACCCCGGAAATGGATTCCACGTGTAAAAAAACGATTTTGAGGCCTCATTTTTTGAGGGTCTTTCTCGACTCCTTTTTTTTAAATTTTTGAGTTTTCTTGATCAAAACTTGCTTATGTCAAGATTTTATACTTTATCTAACTTCCAGACGCATTCAGAACAAAAAATATGGCTTTTTTAAAAATATTCATTTTTTGAAGAAAAAAGCTGACGGGGGGGGTCCTTATGAGCACTTTTGTGGACATTTGTGGACATTGTGTTTTATATTATCCAGAAAATGTATTTTTGGATGTCAACTTGAAGATTCGCAATTTAGAAATTCACAACACATGCAGGTGCCTCGTCCCGCCACGGTCCCGAAATGGAGCAAAACTGGGCAGTTGTCAGTTGTTTCGCACCTAAACCGTCGCTTTGATGCGATTTCTTGATTTCCGATTATAAATAAGCGCTCGAGACGTTTATTCTTATCGCGAAAAAAATTTGAGCCGCAACTGAAAAAACGAAAGAAGATCACCCTTTCAAAAATCTTGAAAGCTATAAGTAAACGTGTCGAGTGTAGGGCGCCCTAAGGGTTACCTCAGTATTTGTAATAAAGATAACAGAATTTTAAGCATCATTTTAAGGAAAAATCGAATTCAGACGGCTCAATTTACAGTATTTTAACAAAATTTACTGTAGAATGTTACTGTTCAAAATATTTTCTTTTTGATATTTGATTTATAGACTGCGCTCTTTTCAATGTCGTATTTTGAATTTCTGTTTTAAAATTTTACTGATTAGGATCATCAGACTTTTGACAATAGAGCTAGAAGTCCTCAAAAAAAAAGTTCAAATGCAATTTATTTTTCATATATAGAATACAAAGACAAAATAAAAACGAAAATGTCTTGGCAAAAGAACTCCTCAAACTCATAATTACCTTTAACTTTCGTTTTTATGAGCTTAAGGGGCGGGTCGACGAGAATCGGAATTTTTAAACCAATTTTCCCGAAAAACCCGATTCTGTAAACATATTTTGACTTATCAGGTGAGAACAGAAGGGTATTTAGAAGACAGCGGCAACGAGTTTCACGAGTTTTTGCAGGAATTTCGTGCACTTCATTACCAAATGTAGCATAAAAAAAATAGCGAAAAAATCGCAAAATTGCCAAAATTGCGATTTGGGGTCCACTTTGAGACACGATTACGCCCATTTTTTCTGGACAAAATTTTTTCTAGTTTTCGCCCCTGTATTTTTCAAACCCTTTTCTACTCACCTGACCAATCAGAATTTTTCATTCAAAGCTAGTTTTTCCGGAATTTTGGTTGAAAAAATCCCGATTCTCGTCGACCTCCCCCTTAACTGTACTTCTTATTTGTATTTATTGATAAATTTTGAGATATTTTTGAAGGAATCAATTTTTCTCTTCAACGATTGTAAACATCAACTCTCATACTTCCGACTCCAGGAGAGCTAGATCCGGAGTAAAAATTTCCGAAGAAAACCAAATCGAACTGATCGTATATTTCCACATCGATCTCGTCATTGCCGCAGAATTTCTGTCCTAAAATATTTCGTCAGTTTTGAACAATTGCTTGTCTGAATACCATTTAGGCACGAACTAAAATAGGGAAGTAATAAGCTAGGAAGTGACAAAAAAGGAAGTGCATTTTCTGAAGACCAATAAGATCTCTGCATTTGGCCTACCGGCCAATGAAAACCCATTTCAAAAAAATCACTTCCTTTTTTGTCACTTCCTAGCTTATTACTTCCTTATTTTGGTTCGGCCCACCATTTATTTCAACGAAGGCATCCTCGCATGAAAAACTCGATAACGAAACACTTCCTCTTGCTAAAATTATCTTAAGAAAAATAATTTACTTCATTTTTGTACCGGAGATACGAGAATTACTCGGGTTTAGAATCGTCAAGCTGCAGTCAAGTCCCGCAATGGAGGGGTCGATAAAGGATTCGTATTTGTCTCCATTGAATGCAATTTGATTTGCAGGGAATGTAAGGTGATTGGTGGGAGGGCCATCAACAAAGTGTCCGCACCAATTTTGAGGTGATGGCTCGACGTTCGACAAGATGACAAATCCAGCGATTCCAGCAGCGGCGATTATTATAACCAGACAGCAGCAAATTGATGCGCAGCATTTCGATGCGTTCGACTCTATTATAATAATTTTCTCTTGGATTAAGGGGGGTCCACGAGAATCGGGATTTTCTCAACCAAAATTTCGAAAAAACCTGATTGGTTGAAAAAATTTTGATTATTTAGGTGAAAAGAAAAGAGTTTGAAGAATACATCGGGGAGGATGAAAAAAATTTTGACCAGAAAAAATGGTGGTAAACTTGTCTCAAAGAGGACCCAAAATTGGCATTTTGGCAATTTTCTAATATTTTCATCAATTTTCTCCTGCCACATCTGGTAAAGAAGTGCACGAAATTTCTGTAAACACACGTTTATTGTATACCCAATGTATTTTTCAAAGGCTTTTCTTGCCACATTTCAAATCAAAAAATTTCCATCATTTCAGGTTCTTCAGGAAATTTGGTCTTAAAATTCTGATTCTCGTCGACCTCCCCCTTAAAATTGCTCTTACTTTGCTTATCTTCCTGATAAGACGAAACTGGTTGGTTTGCGCTCTGGTTGAAATTCGTGTTTGAAAATTGTTGACCTGGAGCTGGAGATGGCTGTAAATTGGAACTTTGAAAGGATGGTGGAGGATTCGGCTTCATTTTCTCCAATTTTTTTTTCAAAATTAATATTACTTTAAAGATTTTCAACGGGAAACTCTGACAATTCAGGATGATGTTCAGCATCTATATAATGGACTTAACCAATTCTTGGAAGTGAACTTTTGGATAACCATTAAGATTGCTGTATTTGGCCTACCGGCCAATCAAAACCCTTTCCATAAATATCTGTTCCAAAAATTGGTTTTACCCAATATAATATAGACTATATTAGAGAGTCTTTAAGGATTTGAAAAAAAACATATATTTTCGGAAAAATGGCTCATCTTATACAGAGGCTTTAATCTATTCAAATCTTGCCGTGAAAAAAAATTATCTTCATTTAAAACGATGGCTTCATTTCATCAATTTTGAAACTATTTGAATTCTTCATTAAGAATGCTTCATTTTATCAAAAAAAAAGAATGAAACGGAGTATATGGATCAGATGAAGCCGAATCGTTTGCGATTCGGTTGAAATTCGAGTTTGAAAACTGTTGAACTGGAGCTGGAGATGGCTGATAATTGGAACTTGGAAAGGATGGTGGAGAGCTATAAGAACTGTCCCCGTAGGTGTATGTCGAACCCCAAGGGTTTTCTTGATTTTGGCCGTAGTACGACATTTTGAAACTGAATAATGAAGGAGCAACAGAATAAAATACAAATTTTATTCTAGAAATTATCAACATTTAGAGTTGTTTTAAAAACTCGAACTTTCTTTTGCTTTTTTGTCGACCCCACCGTCAAGTTAAGGAGGTGTGCGGCGGTAAAAAATGAACTCTCTAGGGACTGACCTCGAAATACCTCGAATAATTCTGAACAATTATAGGCTCCTCTATTATTTGAGGTTGGCCTTAAAACTCCCTTCTAACTCATGAATGAGCTCAATTTTCATCAAGCTTATGAGAGAAGAGTAATGAGAAAAATAATGAGCCTTCGGGAAAACTGTATCCACAACGTATATATTATTTGTAACATATTTTCTAGCAAAGATTCTTCATTCAAGAAATAATTTTGTTTGAAAGATATCAGTGTACGTATTGAAAGATCAACTTTGCAATTCGATTAAAGAATGAGTTTTGATTTATTTTTAAAAATTAAAAAGAAATTAATATCGATCAATATTTTTAAATCGTTTTTCCGCTTCTTTCTTGAGTTTCGAAATTTGACTTCTTGTGGGTCGTTGTGCAGGATCCTTTGTGGTGATGAGAGACTCATTGAGAGTCGAGTTCGATGAAGAGATGGATCGTGCTATAAAAGAACTTGGAGATAGAAATTGAAATAAATCAAACCATTTGGATCTTCTTCCCAAATCCACAGTTCAAATCCAGCATGCTGGTCTTCGTTGGGATTCTCATCGCTATGCCAGTATACGTCGATTTCAGTTTGATCAGTCGACCATCCAAGAATCATGTTTAAACCCATTACATCATTCGAAAGCTTAAATTTTATTAAAAGATATTGAAATATATATTAAGCATCGAAATTCTGGAAATTTTCCTGCAGAGAAAGAATTTTCAGTCTTTTTACGATTATGAGTTTATTATTATTTTTTTTAATAAAGATTTGATAAAAGAAAACTTATGTTATATAAGGAACGGGACTTTTTATGAGTTTTTAAGAAGAGCAAGATCAAGCTCTATAGATCGGGGTTCTAAATCTAATCCCGAACTCTGTAGTCTAAGTCTCGTCTAGTCTAGTTTGAAGCATTTTCAAAATTGCTAGTCTAAGTCTAATCTTGTCTTGAGATTTTTCAAAATTGCTAGTCTTAGTCTAGTCTAGTCTGTATTATGAATTTTAGACATGTTTTAAAAGCAATAATTAAGCTAAATACGATGACTTGAGTCAAAAAAATTGAAATTTATGCATTCTCATATGCTAAAATAAAATCAGGGCGCGTCAAAACTGATGTTAACGTCCGATAATGGACTCTGTCTCCTCAGATTTTTTAGTCTTAGTCTAGTCTAGTCTTGCCGACTATCTTTGAGATCCGAGTTAGTCTAGTCTTACTAGTCTTTAAAACTAAGACTACAACCTGGGGACATTTCTAGCCCTATGAGTCACCCATATTATTTCTGAGCTCTCCATGGCTCATTGGCCGCTTGACTCGAGGCGCGCTATCGAAAATTCCTGTAGCCAACAACAAGACCGAGTCAAGCAAGTTATGAGTCACCAAACCGGGCTAAAAATGTCCCCAAGGAGTAGACTAGGCTAGGTCCTAGCCGGGCTAGGACTTTAGTCCGAATCAGACTCGTCTATTTTGAACCCTGCTGTAGATGTCGGGGTCTGCATTGACGATCAAAATTTTGGCTCTTTTGGCCCAATTTGATAAGGAAATTTTAAAAAATAAAGTTTTCTCTAAGATCAGGCGCGGAGCGCACCTAAGCGCCTGTGTAATGTAAAATACTGATACATTTTTTCATGTGCAGACCGTACGCGCCCTACATCCAGTTCGTCCTCAAAGATTTATTTTTTCGAGCTGCCGAGAAAAATTTTAAGCGATTTGGATGAAACTTTTTTTGGGGCAATGTATCAAACTTCTGGACATTTTTGAGCAAATCGAATAATGTCCAGAAATTTCATAATAATTAACCATAGTTAATTTCAATCTGACTGACGAAAGACGCAGAAAGCGGGCGATTTTTTCTTCTTTTTGCTCATTGCAACTTATTCTGTCAAATTTTTGCCACAATTAAGGGTTTGAGCTACTTGTTGGATAAATTTGAGACCTAGTCTTCAATGGGATAGTTCCTTCACTATGCAAACAAAAAAGCGTAAATCGATATCGACGCCCTGAAATTTATCTCTCGCTTTTCCTGACAATAGTCTCAATAGATAGATAATTAATTGAATTTTCAAAAATATAAAATAATTTTCGAGAAAAAATTAATTTGTTAACAAATTAAAACGACAAAAATTCTTCTTATTATCGTACATGAATATTGTTGTTTTTTTTTTCAAATATAAATTTCTTTAATATTCTGCGATAATATTTGTTTCTTAAAATTATTTGATTAATACTTACATAGGAGTATCCACAAATATTTTCTTCAACTGTTTCAATTTGAAGGTAGTCTCCGCACTCAGGGTCAATATCGAGGATGTTGAGGTAGTAGTAAAGAGGAAATCCGTTCGATTTGACAGTCACTAAAATATCCAATTTTCAAACGCCACTTTGAGGGTGAAGGAGGAATTGTTTTTTGACCCAAAGCATCCATTTTCGGGGTCAAAATTTTGAAATTCCTATAATAAATTTTTCGAAAAGTGTTGACGGGGGGGTCCTTAATAATATTTTGCCAATTCGACAAATAATTATTTTCTATCCAAAATGAGAGAAGATTTTATAAAAAGTTCTTGCTCCAGAACAAAAAAGGTATAAAATTCATAATTGTCTAGAAATTAAAAAATTTGAAATTGTTCATTGTTAAGCCAACTGAGGCTTTCATAACTTACGCCCACAGCTCATGTCATCAGCGTAAAATTCCTCCGGTTCTTCGCCACCCGCTTGAGCTTCTTCAGACATGGCCTGTTCCAGCCATCCAGCAAAGTTCATTGGTGGTGTTAAAATGAGCATCTTTCCAGGCGAGAGAATAGAAACAGGGATGTAAAATATTGAAATTTGGATTTGAAATTAACCAAGTCAAAGGTTATCATTAAATTATTGGTCTATATGCGCTCTGAGCCTGATATCATAGAAAAACTTATTTTTGATATGGATTCACAAAAATGTGACTATTCCAATCACAAATATACAATCAATATGCGTCTCCCATCTTAGAAATGACCTATTCTTTATTTTACTTATCTATTTCTTTTTATTACTATATCTTTACAAACCGGTGGAAAACTGGAGAAGAGGAGAATTTTTATGAAAAATATTTATTTTTTGAAAAAGATCTGAATTTTTTGAAAGAATAATGAATTAATATCTTCTGAGCTTAGCGAAAATGTGATCGTTGAAGTACAATGTATTTATAGAGGTCTTTTCATTAATGAAATAACTATAAAATGACTGTGACATTTTCAAAAATATACAAAGTATTTTACATCCCAGAGTAAACGGATTATCTGCTGAACAAATTGTTTCTTGTGACGAGAATGCGTAGATAATTCCTAAATTAAAGTCGAGAAGAGTTGATTGGATTTGAATTCTCACCCATATTGATGTAATATAAACCAGTCAGTGCAGCAATGATAACAGGGATCATAAATTTTATTCGTTTCTGAATAATTCTATTATGATATTCATATAACAGTCTCTACTAATTTGGGGCGGCGATGTTACACGCCAGTTTAAAAATCTACTGCCGGGACAAACAAAATAAATACGGATACACAGCCTCAAAATTAAATTAAAAAAAAAATCAAGTTTCTGCGTGGCGTTAAGAAGATTATTATCGATGCCGTAATAAAAAGAGACCAATAACCGGTTTTTCGAATTCGCTTCGCTCCAAAACCGCAAAAGTCCCAGTGTGAATTCGGACCGCTGGCCGATCTGATACCGATCCGTAGGTGTAATGGCAGAAAAATCGAGCCTATGATCACCTTTTAAAAACTTCCAATATGATTCAGAGTTAGAATCGCTAGATTCTGGCGATCATTTTGGTACCAAGATCATCAGAATCGGACTAGATTTTCGACCGAATACTCCATTATGCCTATTGTCCCTGTTTAAAGAGCAGGTTCTGTTCTACCAGAATCGATTCACAGAAGTTGTGAACAGGGACTCTAGCGAGGACCAGTGCCTAAAGATGCCCGAAAAATGAGTAAAATCGAGGTGAAATCGTTGGTCTGAGTTCTGAGAGGCCAAACTTTACGTTGATTATGCCCTATTTTTTCGGCTTCTTTCGACGCTGGAGTATTCATCCCTTTCCGGGCGCTCGGAGTCTGAAAAACCAAAATGAAGTTCAGAGGCTCATTATCGGTCGAAAATCTAGTAAGATTCTGATGATCTTGGTAGTACCAAAATGATCGTCAGAATCAACCATCGTGGCCTTTTTCTACGGCGCCTATGACTCATAAAAAAAGGTAAGCCAGCGCGCGTAACGCATACTTTCTCTCGAAGTCACATCCAATGGGGAAAGTCGATCTTGCAACGTGGCCTTGACTTTCCTCTTTTTTTAATGAGTCATAGGTGCCGTAAGAAAATCCACGATTGTAGCGATTCTAACTCTAAATCATATTGGAAATTTAAAATAGGCGATCATGGGGTCGATTTTTCTACCGATCCGATCAGAGGTCCAAATGTGAAAAGAAATCGCGAGTGCAAAGTGACTGCCAGCTTTTTTTAAATTGCAACTGCGACTGTAAATTGACTGCAAAAAACTGCCGATTTCGATGTTATTTATATAAATTTTTAAACTCAAACTTAGCTTAAAACAGTCTCTTTTACAAATTTTCCATATGAAAGAAACATTATCTAATATTAAAATGTCTCTTTTGATAAGATAATGTAATACAATAGGTCTCGGAAGCAAAATTTGCCACATAAATATTTTTTGAAGAGGCAGTAGGTTGGCAGCACGGTCAGTATTGAAAATGGCACGAATTTGCTGAAAATGGCACGAAAGTCGAGACAAATTTTTTTGTGCATTGAAATCACTCGTTTCGGCAAAAATGAGTTATTTTAATGATACTTAAAAGTGTAGCGATCGGACCAACTCAATGAAACATAATCAGGCGCGGAGCGCATATATACCCTGATTTAAGTAGTTGGGTAGTAGTTATGCTAGGTTAGGTTTATGGATTAGGGTTAGGGCTAGGCTTGAAAACAGAAACAAACGAATTATTCGTTTTTAAAAACGAATAATTCACCGTAAATTTATTGTACTTTTTTGAAAAAACGAATAATTCACCGTTAGCTTATTGTACTTTTTTCTGTATTTATCGAACCATTCAGTTGCCTTGAAGGCCGAAAACTTGCAAATAAAATTTCAAAAGCAACATCTTAAGATTTGTTACTTTGAACGGCAAAAACTGCAATTTTGTTGCGAACAAGTTTATGGATTTTAAATTAAAATTTTGATATTTTACAATCTTATTACCTTAAGAATTGCTTTTTTCTTCAGTTTTGGCGCTTTTTCTGGAATCTCTGGAAACTCATCAGGGTTGAGAGCGACTTTTTCTGTTTCAACTTTTAAAGCTGGTTGCGCAACTTGGGCATTTTGAGCATACATAGGCTGAACTGGTGCTTGTTGAGGAATTGGTTGGCCATAAGCATCAACTTGAGGAGCAGGTGCATACATGGGTTGAACAGGTGCTTGTTGAGGAATTGGCTGAGGAGCTATTTGAGGAGCTGGAGCATATTGAGGTTGATACTGCTGAGCAGCAACCTGAGGCGCGTGCATTTTACTTTTTTACAAACTGAATTTGTATCCCGTGCTTTCTTATAAAAATACCCGCATTCTAGAGAAGTGAAACCAAAAAAAAGCTTGTAAGAAGAATTCAAGAGGCAAGATTCTCTTGTCAAACGTTTATTAATTTAATAGTTTTTGTTCTGAGTCATAAATCCCTGATAATAATAAATGGCGGTAGAGTTTGGTCAAATCTTGTACCGCTCTTTGAAAGATATAAAATGAAAAGTCCGATTCTGTCTTTTGATTTTCAAGGGTATGGTACGCGCAGAGGCGATCTCCTCAGGCCCTATCAATACTGGGAAAGCGTACAACAGCTCAAAATGAAGTTCTATCCTTGATCTTCTGATTTACACGAGCTTTTATCGGAATTCAAACAAAAATGTCACGTGCGGGTGGCTTCAAGTTGCCGTCTCGGTCAAAAAACGCGAAATAAGCCTATATTCAGAGGAGATCTCCTCTGAAATTACAAAAGGAAGCCCCCCCCCAAAATCATTTTTTATAAGAAAAGTTTGGAGCCTTATCTTTAATATGATATGAGCTTTTTTCAATCGGTCAAAAATTTTTATGTTAAAAATTTTAAAGTACGAAGCTACTTCAAGAAAGATTCCTGCTTGCCCAGATCTACTCAGATCTACCGGAAGAGACGATTTCTTCTTCCTCTTACTGCGTTTAACGTGTCTTTTTATACTAAAAAGTGCTCATAAGCCTTGTAAAAATCTAGTTTGACTTTTAAAATTTTGCAAAAAAATTTTTTTTCGGGCAGAGTGAACAGCTCACTCTAGAGTGAACAGTGAACAGGGGTTTTCGGCGGATCTCGAACCCTCCTGCTGGGCGTGCGCTAGAAATTTTTGTTTGTATGACTTGTATCGCTTGTTAGTACTGTTTCAGTTTTGCGCCTAAGGTGGAATCTGTAGAAAATTTTATACGCTTTTGAATTGTGCAGGTTTCTGAAAGATCATATAAAATTTGCAGGACTAGATGCCTTTTGAAGTTGCGCCCCTTTTTGGATCTAGCTCATCAATGTATAGTCATGGAGAAAAACGGAAAGCTGAATGAAAAAGCTGAAGAGCTGTAGATATCAAATGCAATAAGAAAATAACAAAAATCTTTTAAACAAGAATATCTGCGGGCGCTTGAAAATCGGGGCGGCGCTATCTAGCCGGGTCCCTTAATCATCACCGTCGAAAAAACAAATCTCATTTTTTTCAATCTAGAAATTTTAAGTATTTAATTATTGATTTGAATAACAAGGCAATCTTCAGAAAAACCCTTTTTTCGTAAAAAAATTGATTTTGACAATAAATAAGGATGCCAAAGTATTTTCTAAAATTTCAAAAGAAGAAACAAATTGTCTTTAAATAATTTTTTTAATGTAAAAATAAAACAATGATGATAAATCGGCTGAAAAAGAGCAATTTTTATGATTTTGAGTTATTTTTTCATAAAAATGGAAAAATTTTCATTTTTTTTTGACACAGGTAGTTTGAGAGCAGAGATATTTTTACGATTAGCATTGTTTTACTAAGCTGATCATCGAAATTTGGCAAAATTTTTGAATTTTTGAGTAAAAAATAAGCATATTTTTGTTTTCAACGAAATTCTCGGAAAAACACGATATTCTCTAGAATATGTTTTGTAAATTGTAATTTTGAACAAAATCATTCAGTTTGCAATTGACTCAATTGCGGGAAGGACATAATCTGCAAAAATGATTATGAATGTCCAGCAAAATGCTGGTGCTCCAGGTATGAATAAAAAAGAACTTTAGCTGAAAGTCTATCGGAAGGGTGAGGGCATTAAGAATTTGCTGCGAATTGATTTCTTTTAGAATTATTCAGCTTAAATTCGTTCACCGTTCGTTCATCGTGTTTTAAAGAGACAAAATTTAGATAAATTAGATTTGAAATTTAAAATTAAATGGCGACTGCCTCTGATGTACATTCTGCAATTTGGCTGTTAATTTCGAAGAATTCCAATTTTGATTTAATTGACACTGTCATTGACAGAAAATAAAATCGAGCTTAATACTTCTTAACCTTTAAACAATTGACTCTTTTGAAATCGTTTTCTTACTATTTTATTTTAAAGAAAAAAATGATTTTTGACGAAATAGCAGTTGACAGCAAAGTTCCAAATGTAGCAATAATTGCTGCTACATGCTACACGTGATACATCCCTCAAAAAAATTCCCTGCTACATGCTGCACTTGCTTCATAAGAAATATTCTATCGCGGAATTTTTAAAGTCAAACTAGATTGCTTCTTTGTTTATAAGCACTAAAAGGTCCCAAAAGAGACGTTATTAGTAGCGAGAAGCTAAAAAATCGTCTCTTTCGACAGATATTACTGTAAAATGTATCTGTCATATTTTTGTTTTTGCAATATTGCATTCTAGAACAAAATTGTTCCTTTTTCACTAAAATTTTCTGCTGAATTTTTGGGTCGATACTTATAAATCTGCTCTGAAATAGATAATTCGCTGAATAAATTATGAGCAGAAAAAATAAGAGGGTCACTTCGTGAAAAAATTTTGAAAACACTGACAAGAAATCCGATTTTTGATAATCCCCGAATGTGAGATACTTTCACAGAGTTTAAGAAAGCGCAATAAATAACTTATAACCTTTAATTATTTTTTAGCCTACCAGCCTCCAGCGCCGGCTCCGGCACCAGTTGTGATCCAGGAAAAGAAGTCAAACACTTGTTGCATCGTCACAACCATCTTGATCTGCCTCTGTATCGGTGTCCCGCTCATTCTCTTCCTCACACTTGTTGTGTTTGCTACTGCTGCAGTTAGCGAGTAAGTTATCTCAGATTCCTTAAAGTCAATTTTTCATGATTATAAACCTAAGAATGATTAATTGGATTAAGAGCAAAATTATTGATATTCTCATTCCTTATATTCTAGATATGAAAATTTTTATTTCAAATGCATAAAAATGATTAATCAAACTCAAAAATTTGTATTCAGAATCAACGATCACTTGGCTACTGCTTCCCCTCCACCTGGATGGAACTCCACCTACTCTTATTCCACCTACTCTTATCCTAGCTCTTCTTCCACTCCAGCTGCCTTTGCGACTTCGTTCACTTCGATGGGCTCAATCGACTCTTCTACCGTTGACATTTGCGCTGGCGATAACGAGTACTCTGTTTCTTCTGGTGGTACTTTTGAGTAAGTTTTTTCTTTGCTGAGCGGTTGGCACAAAAACTCGTCAGTTGGTATCAACTGATTTAACCCGCTGCCGAGCGCGTAGCATCCTAAATTGTACAAGCCCTTTTTATGGTAACCGGTGAAAATAATTCGTTAGAACGAATAATTTGTTTTCCTAACGAATAATTCTTTACATACCGAATGATTCGTTGTTTCCAACGAATAATTCGTTTTTTAAAACGAATAATTCGTTTGTTTTTGTTTTCAAGCCTAACCCTCACCCTAACCCATAAACCTAACCCTAACCCTAACCTAGCATAACTACTACCCAACTACATAAATCAGGGTATATATGCGCTCCGCGCCTGATTTCAGAGATAAATAAAGAGCTGTCTTTCTTTCAGCCGCACCTTTAGTCAGTTCTTTATGAAAAATTGAGTTGTGAACCAAGCGGGAGGACCGCCTTTCAAAACGAATAATTCTGTAACCCTAACGAATTATTCGGTAACCCTAACGAATTATTCGTTTTAAACGAATTTTTTACGAAAAATAGCTGTTTTCCCTTGAAAATAATTCGTTAGGGCAACGAATAATTCGTTGCAACGAATTATTTTCACCGGCGACGCTTTTTATGCTTTTTAAGGCAAACTTAACATTGAGATTTCTCAAAATTTTCTTGTTTATATAAAATTTTAACCTTTTTCAAATAGATCTTACGATTTGAAATTACAAAAATATTTTTGTTTGCCGCTAGAAAATGGGAAAGAAGAAGTGAAGTCAGCCCTTGCGGCGCTTCTTTCCTATTATTTTGCGACGCGACATTGTCTTTTTCTCTAGACTTGATCAAGAGCGCCGCTAAAGAAACCGTCATTCTTTCTCGATTATCGGTCCTTTTCCTCTTCGGAAACTTTGTAAAAAGTGTAAATCTTATAGAAGAGGCTTTAGTGAATATCCAAAAGAAAATATCATGAATAAAGACAAAGTAAAATGGGGAGAAAAATGCGCTTACTGTCGTAGCATTCCGAAACTCCGGAATCCGAATGCTTCGCTTACGGCAAGCCAATGTAGTTGAACGCTCGGCAACGGGATAGAAACTAAAGCCTTGATGCGTGGCGTAAAAACGACGCGCGTCTCTCGAATATTCATAACAAACAAAATTTCAAACTATTCGTACTACATAAAGAACCTTTAGAAAAAACGTCGTCAATAATATAAATGTCTCTTTTAAAAAAAATATAAATCAAATAAATGTCAAAATTTGCAGCTTCTAGTGGCAGTCTTAGTTGTACCAACAACTAAGATGGGAGATACAGTGGGTTGCGCAGGTAGTTTCCCTCTTAATCTTACGACGACAAATGTGCCATATATGACACAAAAATTTTAAACGCCCATTTTTCTCTCTTCTATCACTTCAATTTCTTCCATTTCATTCATTTTTGGTCATTGGTCTGGGATTGACACTAGGTTCATGGTCGAGTTAAGGTTTCGGGCTGTGTTTTGGTTTGGGTTAAGGTTTGGTTTCGGGCATTCTATTGCTCAAAAAATGGCGTTAAAGTTCATGTGCCATATATGGCACAGTTGTCGTCAGCGGGTGAATTTCCGCTTTGGTTAAGAGCGGGCCAAGAGCAACGAATCCTGCAATCATTTTAAGCGAGTCTAGAAAGGAATAATAAAAAAGCGCGGGCAAAGTGGCAACCAAAGCTGCAATCCGAAAGGGGCAACTACCTGCGAAACCCACTGTATGCCGTCAATCAAAAAAAGATTTATCAAAAAAGCTTCACAAATAAATTTAACGAAATATTTTAGATCACCAAACTACCCCAGTCCTTACAACAACGACGCCGCCTGCACGAATAAATTCACCTCTTCTTCCGATGGTATAACGTTTGCAATTGTCAACTTCCACACTGAAGCTGGTTATGATGAACTTACTTTCCGGGGTGATGATGCAACTGAATATGCTTTCACCGGATTTGTTTCAAATGTAAGTCATTTTTTTTCTTGATGAATTTTGAACATACTCGTTCAATGATTTTGATTTTGAATATTTGTAACGCCGTTACAATTTAAACTACTTGTAATGTAGCCGCCCTACACCCCAAAAATGTTGCTTTTTGATCTAGGAATCCAAAAATATTTCTCGACCACCTTCCCCTTAAGTTCTAAAGATATAGGTTGAGCGTAATAGCGTTAATAGCGATTAAAAGGTTTTATCGACAAAAATTGTCGAGCTCCAGTTGCGGAGTTAAGGGACTACCCGCAGCGAGCTCGCGCCGCTTTTCATGAGCGCAGAATTTTTTCTTACCTACTTCAAATTTAATGAATTTCAGATCTAGTGTAAATTTTTCTCCTCTTTCGTCTCAAATTCGAATTTTTTTCATATCATGATTTTTAATTTCAGGAGGCAGAAAAAGTGACGCTCAACTTCAATAGGAATCAGCTTCTAAAATATTTGTCACTCGAAGTTACAAATACCCTCATCGAAAAGCGCATTCAATTTTGACCAGGTCCAAGTTCGCGTGGTCTTAAAATTTAGCTTATATCAGGTCATTATGCGGGGATAAGTGCAGTATCTTGGTGTGAAGCCGGTGTCTCGCCTATTCAGCGAAAATAGTGCAAATTTCCCGCCGCGCGAAGGGGGTTTTTTGATAAATCCCCTGATGACGATCTTATACAAACAAAAATCGAAGACCACGCGAACGTGGACATGGTCAAAATTGAATGCGCTTTTCGATGAGGGTATTCATAACTTCGAGTGACTAGTATTTTAGGAGCTGATTTCTTTTGAAGTTGAGCGTCACTTTTTCTCCCCCCTGAATTCAAAAATTATAATATGAAAAAAATTCATATTGGAGATCAAAGAGGAGAAAAATCTACACTAGATCCTATATTTTCATGAAATTTGAAGAAGGTAAGAAAAAGTTCTGCGCTCGTGAAAAGCGGCGCGGTGGTCCCTAAACTCGCTGCGGGGTGTCCCTTAAAAAAGGTTTCACTAAATATTTTCTATTGCGAAGAAAAAAGGAAGGAATTATTCGATTTTTTAGAAAAATCGAGTCTCATTCTCGACCACCACCCAATCGCCTCCTAAAATTTTGTCGTCAGAATCTAAGAGGCGCCGTCAATATGGATTTTTAGGGGGTTTCAAAAAACCATCATTCAAATAGTGCCCATATCAATAATCTTTTTAAGAAACAATAGACTTGAGCCAAAAATTTTATGATAAAAATTAGTTTTAGGGCTCAAACTGAGAAAATTGTTAAAAATGGCCATTTTCTGCCAATTTTCACGAAAAGGCCCTTTTTGGCAAAAATTTTTTCTAGTTTTTGAATATTGATGACCTCCCTGAAAATTGATAAATCGAAAAAAAGTTGACGATTTGTCAATAATTCATTTCGTAAGAAACTTTCTCATGATTTTAAGCGTCACATGATCATATCTTTTGCAAAAGATCCAACATGGTCCAAGTGAGAACCACTAGCGCTTATCAAATTTGAGTAGCTCCTAACAAGAAATATAAGATACACAAAATTAACATTCAAATTCAGTCAACACGATTCTCCTTTTCTTCTTCTTACGTCGAGGCCCACTTCAGCAGTGATTACGCGTTCGCTTATTCTGGTTTCCAAATTGATGTTATCGACGGCTACGAACCATCAAATGAAGTGAGCATGGTCTGGCCGAACGTCAGATTCACTGGCGAAAAACCACCAAAGGAAGAATAAAAAAAGTTAAGAAACTGGCATTTTATATCACCTGCAATAGTCAATAAACGAGTATATCTTTACCGGACAAACGAAAAAAAAAATCAAAAGTTTTAAATCAAAGCTCTTGATAAATGATTTTTTTTTATTTAATTTTAAGCTTTCGAATTATACAGACATGAGCATTCTGCTTTATTTCTGTCAACCCAAATGATTCAAATAATGGATAAATTGGCTGCAAATTTTATGATTGTAGGCGGTCACGAGGAGACTTTACTCCCAGATAGCAGAAATTCGAACAAGGAGACTTTTTTCTCCCATTGAAGGAGTAGTGGGCGATTTGTTAAATTTTCGAATTTCAAATTTTTTAATTTTAGAAAGACAACGTCAAGAACATCAAAAAAGGTTCGGGAGCTTTTTTCTCAACGACAGCGAAAGATTGTGAAAAACGAGTTTAAAAATTGGCATTTTTGAGAGAATTCGTTGAATCATATTTTTTAAGATTTGAAAAATGCATTTATTTTAATATTTTAAGAAAGCTCACGACTCGCGTTGTACAGTGGGTATGGTCAAATTAGCAGGTAGTTTTTTTGGCAGATTTCGACAAAATATGCTAAATTGACCATTTTCTCAGAAAATGGTCAATCAAAATCTGTTCATCAAAATCACTCCCTAGGTTTCATTACTTACTTTCTTACACGCACTTCTTGTGTCTCATCCTATCTTAATTGTTCCTTTTCTTGGTTTACTCTTCAAATTGTTGGGGAGGGGTCGAAACGGTTGTCTCTTCGAACAGTTCGGGATCCCGAACCATTCGGGATTCTCTGAATGATTCGGGAGTGTAAGGAACTTTCATCTAACGGAAGGGTCAAATTTTCGCATGATTAAATGGCCAAGTTTTTTTTTCCGGGAAAATAAGGATTTTTCAAAATTTTTTCGATTTTGAGCAAAATCTGCTAATTTGACCGCTGCTAAATTGACCATACCAACTGTATTTTTGATCATTACAATGACTCAGTTTTCTACCTGTATTACGAGTGAGCGCATTTTGAATTTCATTTTTTGACATTACGGGAGACACTTAATTATGCCGCCTTGCGCCGCCAAGCGTCGCCCTGTCACGCCGGATCCGAAAATATTTTTTCTTTCAAAAGCGGATATTTAAAATTTTCACGTCAACTTTGTTTTTCTGTTGTATCAATATTGATTAAAATTTAATAAAGGAAAACTTTAATTGAAGATGCCAACCTTATTCAGATTTTGGCATAAAATCACTAATTTATTGAGCACGCGATGGGCAAGAGGCCCTTACGCGAGCATTTTCTTGAAGAGAACTCTTTGGGTTGGCGGGGCCCATCTCTCGCTCTTATTCATATTTGTTCCTTAGGTTATGGTTGAGTCGGATCAGAGCCGGATGGTTTCGGACCAGGCGGCGCTGGGTCCTTTTGCCCTTTTGGTCCTAAAATGACGGGGTCAAGTCCAGAGTTCGAAATCCGAGAAAATGTAGCTGCTACCTGGTACCACTTGCTATCAGTCACACAGGGCTGATTCCTATCTGCTACCATTGCTACCATTCAAGAAATTCTTATCTTCAGAGAATTTTGAGAGTGAACATCGATTCGAAAGTCATGGTCACTGTTCAGTCGAGTGAAGTATTCACTTTGCCAAAAACGAGACAAAATTTTTTTTCGCAAATTTTTAAAATCAAACTAGACTTTTTATTAGCCGTAAAGCCTTTTTTTCTCAAAAGAGACGTTAAAATTAGTAAGAGGAAAAAAATGGTCTCTTTCGATAAATCTTAGTAACAAATGTTTTCACATTTTTTTTGCAATAATACATTCTAGAACAAAATTTAATTTATGACATGATTTCAACATGATGTTTATTTTACTCAATAATAAACAAGTTGTCATCAAGAACAGAGAAAAAGGGAAGATTAAAATACAAATGGTAGAAATGTTGTAACCACTTGCTTGTAACCACTTGATACCAACTCTGATGACATTACTACCATTTGCTTCCAAAAGTGGTGTCAATGGTAACATGCTTAAATTACTTTGGGCGACCTTCAGTAACGCTAGTAGTTATTGAGAACTATTCTGCATGCATAGTTCGTTTCGATCGTTTCCCAATCAGATTGGTTTGAAAAATTAAATTTCGGCATTTGGTCGAATTTTGATGTCATACTACCGAGTTTAAAAATCAGTTTTTGAGTTTATTGAATTTTGCCTTTTTAGAGAAGGAATGATCGTTTGATTTAGTTTGTTTCTTCCTTTGGTGGAGCTTCGCCGGTCAATTTAACAGAAGGATAAACCGTGTCAATATCGTTCCATGATTCGTATCCATCGATAACCATCACACGAAATCCACTCATTTGGACCATATCATCAGAGTGAAAATGAACAGTGACATCTGAATCAAAAGAAATTCGAGTTCCCTTAAATAAAAATTAAAAAAAAGAGAGATTAAAAGAATATCATACTGTTAGTTGTCCACTAAACTCATAATCTTGTCCATTGCTATCGCGGAATACAAGAAAATCATAATGTTGCTCCGTGTTAAAGGAAGTAAACTCAAAAGTGAGGCCGTCGAACGTGGAATAAAATTTGTTGGTGCATCTTGCCATGTCTTGGTAATGGGATGGGTAGTTTTCCGATCTAAAAAAAGAGATTTTTAGAAAAAATCTCATGCGCAATCTCTGCTGACTTGCCCTAGTCATATATAAAAAAAGAATGATCGGGGAAGCTGACAAATTTAAAGTCCCAATTTTGCTTTTTTTTAATCCGAATTTTCAAAGTGAAAACAATTTGGTATAAATTTATTATACACTAGATATACTGTACTAGAATTTATCAATAAACGATATTTGTATTATAATTTGTTTAATTAACGCCGGAACGCATAAATTTTTTTCAAGGTTGAACGCAGATCGTACCAATTAATTGGTATGCCCCTTTTACCGATTTTTAACAATGAAATTGATAAGTCTACTGATTAAATGATAGAGATAAATAATTCTCAGACGCTTTGCTTCAATTTCATCCACATATTATATAATATAATTTATATTAATATAAATATGAGTAAATATGCGTTTATTCCAAATGTGTCGACAGACGACGTAATGGCGATTTATTGTTGAAAGAATAAAAAATATTCGAGTTCAAAATTTTGTTCAATAGCTAAAATCAATAATTTTCAGAAAAATTTTTTTGACATCGGAATCGAATTCCTCGATAAAAAGTAGCTCCATAAGTGGGGGTTCATTTTTTTCTAGCGTAAAATAAAAGTTGAGTTATGTGGCTTTAAAGAACCTTGTACCAATTAATTGGTCGCCCTGCGTTTCGGCGTTTAATAAAACTGATGGCATTGATAAACCTCCTTTACATGTTTTGAGAATGAATCGTACATCGTTCCAATGTCATTATCCCTCCTCGGCCAAAGCCAATTTTCAGTCACGTTTTTAACGAGTTCATGAAAATTGTTTCCCTATCTTTCAAAGTTATGATTTAAGGACATGAAAGAGAATAAAGATATCAGTGATTTCTGTAAATTTTATAATATCGGACGTGCACTTAGCATTCCGAATTCACGACAAAAGAATGAGATTTGAATGGTACGATTTTCCCGCGCTTAAAAAAGGGACTTGTCTATTTTGAGATCATACTACGCATCGCAGTTAAATAAGATGAAGATATGATACCTTAATCCTAGTACAAGGCTTGTTCTACAAGCAACGTTCCATTACCGACGGATAATTATGATGCGTGAGTGGTACCGAAAATCCCTATTCATTTCAAATAACCCCTTTGATGCAAAAATATTTGAATATCTTACTCAAAATAGCCAAAGCCAGAAACATAATACATATAATCCCCATCGCAGATTCCAAAAGTTGAACCGGATATAAATGGACCGTTGGTTGAGAGTGTCGTTGCAAAGTCGTAGTTGTTGCTTTAAGCAGAGTTCGAAATCTCACAGCCTTTTTTATCGACCAAATCGGACAAAATGATTATTTTGGATATTTTTTCAACATCTCTCGCTGTTGTTGAGAAGAAAACTTTTGGACCTTTTTTCCTCCTCTTGACGTGGGCTATCTGAAAATAGAAATAAACCTTACAAATTCGAATTTTTGTCAAACTGCCCCACACCTCCATTAAGGTGTCACATTTTTTGTCCCAAGATTTGCTCAAAAATGTCCAGAAGTTTGAAACATGGCCCAAAAAAAGTCGTCCCATCAAACTCACTTAAAATTGTTCTTGTTTTCCCAAAAGTGTGATAAATTTCTCACTTTTTCTTCAAAAAAACAAAGCATAAGTAACGATGGCTTTAGTTTATCCTTCAATCTAATTTTCTGTTATAAAGAGAATGTTATTAAGAGAAATCGGATAATTGATCAGAATTAACTCATTATTGAAATAAACTGTGGAAAAAAATTTATCTGCATTTAAAATTTGTAAATATATATTATAATAACATTACAATAAATTATACTATAATATATATTTATATAAAAAATATTCTATATGAAAAATTAATTTGCTTAGAATTTTAAACCCTGTCTTGAGATACCAGGTTCTGTTGGTGGACCAGATGGTGGACTTAAAAGGATATTAAATTTTGGTTGCAAATATAAAAGACTAACCCGCTAGTTGCAGCAGTAGTCGCAGCAGCGCCGACTCCAAGAAGAACGAAGATACTGATGAAGATGCAAGGGCAGAAGATGCAGCCTATAATAACGTAGCAGACTGCATTGTTGCTAGATTTTTGCTGTTGGATGACAACCGGAGCTGGAGCTGGTGAGGGTGGAGCCGACGGAGCTAAATTTCCTTTTATTTTTTTTTAAATAAATTGAGGAAAAATGTCGGGCACACTCTATGATTCTTGAATAACCCTCGATTTGCCGGGATTTTCCCCTCATCTTCGGTCCGCTGGGACTTTTGGCGCAAATTCCGGCGAACCGAGGACAAGAATTTCAAAGTCTCTAGTAAAAGTGAAACTGTTTGGGAATATTTTGATAACTAATGCCTGGCCCTTCACAAAGAACGAGAAAGACATAAAATGAAGAAATTTTTAAAATATATTTTTATGTTAAGGAGCACAGGTTTCCGGGGTGGGGAGTAAATTGAGAGGTCCCAATTTGCTCCAAATTTTTAAATTTATTTAAAAATCAATAGTTTAAAGTCAAGAATCTAGTCTGCTAACCAAAAAATGAGAAACGGTTACTTTTAACTTTTCTTCTGAGAAGAGACGTTTTTTCGGCTCAATATTTTTATAAACGTCTCTTCATAAATTTCATATAAATAAATTGCCAAAATAACATCTAGTTTGACTTTATTTATTTCAGCAAAAGGTATTTTTCTCAGAACATGAGCATCATTATTAATAAGGATACCGTGTCAGTGCAGATTTATATTAGAAAAGACTTTTTTTGATTCGATAATTTTTTAAATGTTCCTTCTCTTAATATAAATAAAAGGGAAAAAAATCACCTTTTTTTTCAACTGTTCAAAGAGTCAACCCTTGGCTGCGCAGGGCGGCATTATTCAGTATCCCCTAATTTTTAGGCTGATGATTAAACTTGCTTTGCTTAGCTTCAAACCCAATTTTAGAGAATATATCAACGCCCCTCAAGTCAAGCGGCCCTGTTACAATTTTATTTTCTATCTTACGTGGAGCATTTTGTTGAACATTCAGAATCATTTTCGACTCTTTCCTGCTTTTTGTAAACTGGAGAAAAAACTATAATTCATCAATAAGTAAATACCAAAATGGAACATTCTAGAAAAAAGACATAATTGTGTTATTGTAAAAGTTCAAATAATTGCCATTTATTTGCGAAATGATTGACCTCTTATAGTATAAGACTTATACTTTATTGATATTCTATGGGTTAAATGAGCAGACAAATCAGAAAATAAATAATCGTGTGTAATTGATAAACTAAATCTTTTGAAAGAATATCCTGCAGATAATAACGGTTGTAAATTAACAACCTTCTGAAAAGGTCCTTGGCGCGGTTATGTTAAACAAAACTATTTTGATTTTTTCTAGAAAATAATAATAATTACAAAAATTCATAAACAATGAATTAGTTAAAAATAAGACATGAGTTCGAAATCTCTGGGCAATTATTTCTAAATTTCCTGTCGTCCAACCCACAGCTTGAATTTTCCAAGGGCTAAGGAAGAAGCTGGTCTTTATGGCACTATTGAGAAAAGCGTCTTTTCTGGCACTGAAATTTGATTTTGTGAATTTTCAAAGCCCCGCTATATTATAATGACATGAGTTTTGCCATGCGAAATGTACTGGACTCTATGTGACTGTAGCATATTTATTACACAGTGGGTAAAACACTGGGCTTTGCTTGAGTGTGTGTTTTGTAGAGAAACTATTGCATGAGTGAGTGATCCTTGCGGATCGTGCACAGAAAGGGCGAGGTAAAACAGCTGATAGGAAGTGAGAACAGTTGATTCTCGGCGGAAACGGCCGTATCTATCTAAGCTCAACGGGATACCGTATAAGGTTTCGGGAAACCTTACGTTTCATGTCTCATACGTAGTCATGGGTGAATACACATGAATGCGACGCGGTATTCCTTGTACCACCGGTTTCACAGGTGAAACCGGTTGATTGATTACTTCTACACTGCGCCACCTAACAATTATCACCCTATAAAACTGGAACTGTTCTCAACTAAACACGCACACTTTACGCACATTCAATAAACGGTCACTTAGACTTGGACATGTAGTCCTTTTTGTACGCAGGCAGCGTTGGCCAGTCCCGGAACCTTTTAACCGATTGAGGACTTTATGTCACTCACATCAATAAAAGCCAAAATTTTACCACGAACGAAGCATATCCAAAAATTTTGAATTCTGATTGTCAGTCTCTCAGAGTCTGCTATTAACATTTAAAAATTTCGAACTCTACCGGTGCCGATTTGGGCAGCGGATTTCAGTTATCCTGTATGTCTGCCCTCTTTAGTAATCTTTATTCTGGTGTTGTCTCGTGGAAGAATAAAACGTTCCGCCAGGTTTTTGAGCGATTCGAGCAAGTGCGATACTCGGCTCTTCGCCTAAAACAGATTGCAAACAATACGATCGTCTTGCCTTCCCGTTCAGATGTTGAGTCAGATTTCAATGACTGCGGCGAAAAAATTTTGGACTTCAACAAATCATCGTCAAAGAAAAAAATTGTCTCGGAGTGTTCGCTAGCTATTTATGACTGTATTCGAATGAATGATTATCCATGTGATGTATTTACTGTTGAAACGTATGATGGGTTCTTGGTCGAAATTAATCGCCTCAGAAATGTGGGAAAACCAGCAGTGCTTCTTCAACATGGGATTCTTGGAGATTCGGGTCATTGGGTTTCTGCCGGACCAGAACATGGGCTCGGTAAGTTGCAAAATTGGATGATATTCGACTGCAAATAATCTCCCTAAGGGCATAAAAATGTGAACATAAGGGGATGGTGGTCGAGAATGAGACCCGGTTTTTCTAAAAAATTCAATATTTTCTTTTGTCGAGCCGTTTTCTCTTTACAAATAAATAGAAAATGGTTCGTGAAGCCTGTTTCAACGATAAAATTGGCTCTCGCTCAGTTTTAACCCATAATTCTGACAACAGAATATAAAAGTAGATAAAAAAATCCGCAAAATTCATTTTCTGGGGGTATTTTGAGTGATTTCTTCTCGAATTTTTAAGGGAAAATATTTTCTAAACTCCACGCTTTTACGTCGACTTAACCATTATCTCTTCGAAAACTAAAGGAGAAATTCCGTTACTCAGGTGGTTTTGGCTCAATCTTGGTCAAAATGTACATTATTCTCGACCACAACCCCCTTAAGGATTTTCCAGAAAATTAAAAACTCTACTGTGTATTTCAGCGTACCTACTTTTCAAAGAAGGCTACGATGATGAACCCCTGCCCGCATGAAAAATTTGTCACCCCTGCCCGCATATCGACCTACGCGTAGGTCGGGCCTTTTGAGGGTCTTTCAATCGTGATAAAATTTTCGAAAGGATATGAATGGAAAGATTAAAGGCTGAGCTATCTCCTGGACATAATCAAATTTCAAATGTCAAATGTTAAATGTGAACAAATGCCGTTTTTCCAAAAGTATAATTGGGGTGGTGTCTGGAATCGACAAAAAAATTCCGACAAAAATTTTCAAAAAAAAGACACTTCAGAAAAAATACTCTTAAAATTTTTTGAGAAAATTTTTTTCTGAAAACTATGCAGAAATGGCTTTTTCAGGCCATAATGGACATTTCTAGGCAATTTCGAGAAATTTTTGTAAGCGCACCAGATAATGGTGGGCGATTGAAATTGACATGAAAAAATTGAAAATTTTTGTCGGGATTATATTGTCGATTCCAGACACCTCCCCGTATAATTGCGTTTAAAAGCCAATTTACCTACGCGTAGGTCGATATGCGGGCAGGGGTTAAGCATATTTATTTTGCATTATAAACTTTACAATAACATTTATAATACAAAGTTAAACAAAGTATACAAAGCCTTTTCCCACGCCGTTGGAACCTTGATTTCTCATTTTTTTAATCCCATTGCGGTTCAAATAGTTTTGATTGAAGAATCAAAATTTTTAATATTCGAAATTTATAAAAATATTCTCTGGCATTGTTGAAAAATCATAAATGTTTTTAAGCTCACCATCAAACTATTGATATTATGAGTGCAATCAAAAAATTACTTCTGCTTCTTCTGGCATCACATTCGAGATTGAAAAACTTGACGCCGATTTTTGTGCTGAGGATCTTGTATTCAAAGATGAAAATGAAGATGAATATGCCTTTTCTGGAAATATCACAGAGGTAATATTACTTAAACAGTCTCGTTATCGTTTCTGTATGGGCTAACGGCTTTATTAAATTCTCAGGAATTATTTTTTATTTTTAATTTTAGGTTGCCCGCTTTTCGTTTTCTTCTCCTTTCGTCTGTATTCATTATCGAGGCAATACAACTTCAAATATACGCTTTTTGATATCGATCGAAGCGGGATTCGAGCAAAGAAACAACATAAGCGTCATTCATCCTCTCGTCATGTCGAAGACCCTTTCAAGATACGCAAAAGCAAGAAATGAATAAAAATAAAAGAGGTTGAATACTCACGTGGGCCATTGACCATCCATCATTTCTTTTGTTTGGAATTTTGAAAAAGTTTGCGACTGTCACTGCTTGTTATTGCCAAATTGGTAAATACACTTTAGCAGTTGGAGAAGAAACTGAAGGGCTGAAAATTCTCTTTATATTATAGAAGTTTATATTAAATGAGCAAAATTAAAATCAAACTAGATCAACAACTACCTTTTATTTAGTTTACTCTTAAAATAAACATTTTTACAAAATCGATTGATTCTTTTGAGAATACGAACGAGAGTTAAAATTCAGATAAAAATTTGATCTTTCTTTTTTTTTCAATTTCATTCAAATTTTAAGTGTTTAGTATATAGACTATTTAATACAGTATAAAGACAAAATTTTCTGTTTATTTTAGATTTCTTGGGTAGTAAAGAATACGAGGAGATAATTTTATTCACAAAATTTTTTCGGTGCATAAGAAATTTTGACAAAAAAAAATGGCATCAAAAATTCAAAATTTGCAGACTTTTTCTTATGAAAACCTTTGTTTTTCTCTTTTATTCTAATTAAAATTAAGGGTATAAACTAAGGGTAAGCGAGTATTTAACCTTTTCATTTTATTTACGCTGTAATGTTAAAGTTGCCCTGAGATATAATCTCTCATTTTCTCAAATGATTATACCACTTTCGTTAATGTCTCTTTTCAATGTCTTATTTTCAAAAAGAAAAATCATTTGCTTTTCGAATCGTATATTCTCAACTTACAGTGATCTTGAACTCTTTTCATTCCACCCCAAAGTTGAGCTAGAAGTAAAACTTTAGAAACAAATTAATATCTTTTGAAGTGGCAGTAGGTCGGCAACTGCAAGTTACTGCCAGCCCTTGAAAAATGTAACTGCAACTGCCAACTTGGCAGTGCCAAGTAACTGCCGACATTGGCAGCTGCTAGTGGCAGTCGTGGACAAATTTCGAACTCTCTTATCAGCGATTTAAAATGGGCGCTGCTTCGCTACAAATGCATGAGAATAGCGAATTTCGCTTCGCTACTTGTGTGTCGTATATGACACACGGATGCATTGAAATTGTGTCATTCACTACCTACGGTAGTAAAGGTAGTAAGAGAAAAAAGTTTCGGTAAAACTACAGAAATATTGTGAGCTTATTTTCTGATTAATATTTCGGTAATAGCCGAAACTTTCTTTCATTTTTACCCCCTTTTTGAGCAAAAATATTTCGGCAGGCTACCGAAATCTTTCTCACTTTTAACTTAAAAGTTTTAAGTCCTTATCAAGCAAAAACATTTCGGCAAAAAAAGCGTTGACGATCATATAATCTCATCGATTCTTTTGCAAGAAAATTATTATATCTAATTGCCGCTACCTCGGGGCTCCGCCCCTTCGGGCCTAAGATGCCGGGGTCTAGTCTAGGGTTACTAGGGTTACGTAGTATAGTCTATACTGTATAGAAAAATGTTTCGGTAAAAGCGACCGAAATATAAATCATTTTCAAGGGGTCAGATGTGATAAATATTTCGGCAGGCAGCCGAATGAATCTTACAAATAAGACACGTTTTTAGGAAAAAATATTTCGGT